ATACGCGCTATTGTCGCGAACATCCATGCGAAACGAACGAACCAACACGCGATATTAAGTACTTCCGTCGGATTACGTTAGACTACGAGTTTTGTGCTGCGCTTAGTACCGCGAAGTACTCGATATTCGTTATGTATTCAGACCAAGCCGCGATAAAGCCGCCTTTGTAAAGAACCGATCACGGCTTTAAGAAACTCCTTACGCCGCTGTCCCGTCGCGCGCGAAATATTATTCCGCAGACGGACGCTCATTTATGATAGATCTTATATCTTTGAAACGAAGAAAAAGAAACACAATATCGAAGAATATAATGTACAAAGGGAGAGTTAACAGAGAAAATACACGCGAGTGATCATTCTTTCTCTAAATTAAATTCATCTCAGTCTCGCTTCTCTTACTATTATCCACGCTCGACGAAAGCCTGGAGATTTGTTCTTTTTTCTTTTTTAACAACAAAGCCAGTAATTAAATCTTTGGCGTTATATCGAGGTGATATTATCGATAAGAAGAGGTTACAGTTGAAAATTGCTCGATCACCTGAGGAATCGTACGTTTCAAACAATTTACGGATGTATGTTTCCAGACGAGAGATTTGATGGATTAAATGGGAAATACGCGAAAGGTGAGCACACAGTGTGTCCCGAGGGATGTTTCTTTGCAACGCCCTTTGCACGAAAATTCACTTCGCAAAATTACTCCGAGCACACACACGAATAGTAATCTGGGGAACGTTCTCTTCAATTATCAACGCACAAACGTAAAGCTAACATATTTCCACCGCGAGAGCGCACGAGATGACTCAAGGAAATGTTCCAACGCGGTTTTACCCAATTTACAAATGTGTTACGGCTCGAATATATATATATATTTTTTTTTACGCGTCACCGTGTGTGCCACATCGCAAAATTAATAACCATCCTGAAAATCAGAGATTACGGGACGATCGATACGTTCAAACGGAGCTCTGCAGAATCCCCGGGGAGAATGAAAAATGGAAGTTTGAGAAATGAAGAGCGACATACTCGATTTTGACAAGAATATCGCAATATTTCGAGAGAAATTCGAGGATAATCCGTAAAATTTTTGCTCGCGATAGTCATGCCTTTATAAATTATCATCTGGAACGGAAATCGCGAAAACCTGTATCCATCGCTGTCACGTACGTATCATATTGATTACTACTCTAAAAGTAGTATTAGCACGTAGCAAAAATACTCGCGAGTCAAAAGTGTCTCATTAGTATCGCATTAATAAGGATATTAAAAACCTCCGTATAAATACATCTCTCGTATATACGGTCTAAAAATAAAACTATAATCGTAGGTTCCGTATAAAATGTGCAATAGGCACATAGGCTGACGCAAGTATTACCGACCCTTGAGGAAATAAAGGTCAATAGAAATACGGAGCATTCGGAGCGACGATCTCCGTAATTTACAGGATCCACTCTAAACATAAAGAGGGTCGTATTTAATAGCGGCTGTCTCTCATAAATTATCTCGATTTTGTTCGCTCGTACTCCGAACGCCTGAAATATTGATCGGAACGTAATTGCACGTTCTGCTACCAATGCAGCGCGCTTAAGTCTACAGGACGACCATCTGCTTGAATATTCCGTTACCGAGAGCAACATAATATTGAAAAAAAAGAACTATCGTAAAAAATCTTATCCAATATATATATATATAGAACAATTAATTTTTGATATGATGCGTGATTTGGCATAAATGTATGTGTTTACGTAACACGTAAACGAGTCTACGACGTGTAACACTGTATACTCTGTGTGTCAAAACCATGATTATAATTCGAGTAAACAAAGGTTTCCGTAAAAGAGAGAGACGCAGATATAAGACGTACAATAAACGAGCCCGCTTTCCTGTAACGTGCGATTACTGCAAAGAAGAGAGAAAAAAGAACAAGTGAGCGTTTTTAATTGAGTGACAAGCTGCAATCAATGCAACCGCTCGTGTTGTATCATCGACACGCAACGTTTGTTTTACGCGGAATATATAAACTTACCGCCAACATTTATTTATATACATTGCCAATGATGTAGACCGAGCTCTTTATATATCTACTCAACCTTTTGTGTCGCGAAAGGTCAGAGTTATTTTCTATATCCGTGAATTTGAAGTAAAAAACCGCGCGTAGAATCCATCGGGCGAGACGGGAGAGCTGTGCGCAAGCCGACGTTCCTACATCGACAGGCGGAAACGCGCGCGAAAATCAATTTCACATGTCACCTTCCGATCGGATTCCGCGTAACGCGAGAATTTTTCAGCAGTGTCAACGATATGTCATAACAAAATCAAACTTATATAATCATATTATTCATATATATATATATATATATGTGTGTGTGTGTATCAACTGTTTATATAAATAATAATTCCTATTCACGATATACATATATATTCGCCATTTTCACCTCGCCTTACATATTATCGTGATAAATATTTTACTATTAAAGTCATCATTTGAATAATACGTCAACACTCTCGCGCGAGAATAACAAATCGAAGAGTGATATCTTCCAACGTCTCGTCAAACCTATAATGCACGATCGATCAACGTGTTTTTCTTTTTTCTTTTTTTTTTGGTTTCCTCTATTAAGAAATCGTCATTCCAATCCGTTTCGCTCTCACCCCTGTCGGTGCGATGAAAAGACGCTCTCGATCGAGGCACACCCAAATCCCAATCCCTCAAGTTCGTGTTATTCGTCGTAATTGACACTGTCTTGACGCGTCTTGAATTCTACTCCTTTCCGTATCGGCTGCACTCCACGTGTCAAAAACACCATAAAGATGCGCGATAATGTGTCTCTTGTGCATCCGTGATTCTTCACTGGCAAAGTTTTGGCACGAAGAAAGTAAATAGGTATCTATTTCGCGTTCCGCGAGTATAACTCTGTGTAGGCCGTGCGATCGTTCCTCGTATCTAGGAGGAGCTGCTACTTCACGTAGTGGCGAGCGTCTCGGAAGTGAGGCAAGACGGTTACGACGGCGAAGATGAGCTACGCTAAAAAATAGGTTCGCGTATATATATATATATATATTTATATTTATATATATGTATGGTTCCTATATTGTCTATTCGTCCGTAATGCTGTGTGCCATCGCGTCGCTCGCGATGGAACAGGATGACGACGTATGATGACGACGACGCGAGGATCACTACGGGAAGGTAGTATATGCGAAATGACGGTTGTACTTTCAACGAGTTTCCCGATGAGACCGATGTGAGTTGGCGCGTCCAAAGGATGAGCGCGCGTCGTAACAAATATCTCTTTTTTTTTCTTCTTCTTCCTCTGTCTTCTAGCATCGCAGAGTATTTTGTACTTACTCCCTGTGCGTACACAATAAACTTGTAATCGTTTAAGAAATTTCGTATTGTTAAACATAGTACGCTGCGTGTGCACAGCAACTGCAAATAGATCAGCGCTACGGGCGATTTTGGTTTCGATTTAGCCGCGTGCGCGTCGTCGACGGGTCGCGCTTGACGGATTGATGCGCGAAATCGGCTTCCTCGCCGGCCCGTGTTTCAACCAAGAACGTTAACTAAGAGTGAATTATGCTTTTTTTTTTCTTCTTTTTGGCATTTGTGTATATCTCTTATCGTAGACTAATTTCATACTGACTAGAGGCATTGATACGTTTTAATTTGGCATGAAGCGTATAAGTGAAGTTCACGAACGGGACCTTCCGTATTTTTCTCTCTTTCTTTACGGGAAGAAGACTCGAAGCGATCTTTTTTTTTTACAAAACACAAAATATGAGGGAGGGCAGACGTATCTTCTCGTTTTTTCGAAATATTACGAAATATATACGTGCATACTTTTCTAGCTGCCGTGTCTCCTTTTTTTCTTTTTGAAGAAAAAATCTTGCGACGTATTTCTCTCCGAGACTGAAGGGTTTCCTCTTTTTCCTTTTCCCTTTCTCATCGTCGTCGCTCGGCCGTCCCGTGTAATTCGATTTAACGTTAACATCCTGACATCGGAACGACCGCGATATACATAAATTATCGCCGTAACGAAAAAACAATTAACAACCTTCCTACGTCAGATCACAAATAATGAGAATATCTTTAACACTATCGATCTCCTCGTCGCGATATCCACAATGCTCTGTAGATAGGAACAAACGGAGAATCGCAGGTCTACGGGGGTGATGGTATCTACAGTGCCGTAGAAAGTTTGTACAACGTTACAATATCGTGTGATGATAACGAGTATATAAAGTGATAATTTCGCCAAGTAACATTATTATACCGCGATAAAACGTATGGGCTCGCGATAAACGCGGGCGAGTCTCTCTCTCTCTCTCTCTCTCTCTCTCTCTTTTTCTCGCGCACTTTCGCGCATAGCGCTAAGTAACGTAAATAATATCGGAGACCATTAATACAGGTGCAATATAGCGCGGTACACGTACACATACACTTTAGCCCCTAATCTCTCGCTACTCGACAAATACTAGTGGAAAAACTTTCGCATCGCACGTCGCTTCCACGTCAGAAGGCTATTTACGATGTCGGGTATCTGTGGATCCTACGTAGATCACACATTTTATCCGCGCTCTCAGTCGTCACACCAGTCTGTCCTATCGTTGAAACGAAATATAGGCTCTCTCCCCTCCCCCTCTCTCTGTATAAATAAAACATTCGTATCGCGCCGTGTCAGGTTCAACCGTCGGCAGAAACTGCGGGGCGAAGCGAGAGTGTGTGTGTGTGTGAAATAGAGTGAGAAAACGAAGGCCGAATCGGGAGACGGGAGAGGAGTGCGATTTAACCCTTCAGCTACTCTCGACTGATAAACGCCGCTTCAGCAGACGAACAATTTCCGTCGTCACGCGCCTGCATTCACTCGCGCCTGCACAAAGAGGCGGTAAAAATAGCGAGATCGCCGCGTGGCGATCTCTCCGTGAGCCGCTCAGCGGCCGTAAGAATGGCGAAAGAATGAAACGTCGAATTTTCCCAAGAAAGACCGTCTCGCTGGCCGACGTTCACACGTTCATGGCGTAGTACACGGTGTTGGGCGCGCTGTTGGTCGGCGTGGGCACGAGGCTGCCGGGGTCGACGTAGGAGTTGGAAACGAGCAGAACGTGCGGCGGCGCCGCCGACTGCTGGAAGTCCCGGGCGGGCATGCTGGCCGCACCCTCGGGCGCGCCGCGTTCCGTCAGCGCGCACGTGGCGGCTCGCGGCGGCAGTTGCATCACCGTCGCCGAGGAGACGACCGTCGAGGACGTCGCCGCGGAGCAGGCGAGCGGGCTGACGCTGCCGTTCGCGCCGAAGGACGTCCCCAGGCTCGGCTGCTCGCAGCTCTTGACGCCCGGCAACTTGAGGGAAGTGGCAGTGGCGGACGAGGACGAGGACGACGACGACAACGCCGAGGAGGACGAGGAGGAGGAGGAGGAGGATGACGAGGAGGAGGAGGAGGAAGAGGAGAAGGCCGCTACAGAGATCGTCTGAGTCTGCACATCCGCAGCGGTTACCCCGCCGCGTCCCAGGTGCGCCTGGTACAGCGGATAGCCGTCCTGATTGCTCGCCGGCACGCACCTGGAGGGCGCGATCACCGTGTAGGAGGGCGGCGTCGGCACGCGGTACGACGTCATCATCTCGTGGTGGTGATGATGGAACTGCACGGGGTGGTGCGGCGAGAACGCCACACCGGGCTGGTGGGGATGATGCACNGGCGGCGGCGGCGGCGGTACCGGCGGGGACGCGGCGGAACGACCGGCCGTGTAATAGAGCGCCTGTTGCTGGCCGGCGGTCTTGCCGAGACGCGGGTACGGGTACCGCTCGATGTGACTGGCGTAGTTCGGCGAGGAGTGCGGCGGCAGGATGCGCTGTATGTTCTGGTAAGTCGGGTCCGACATGCCGCTGTACGGCACGAAGTACATGGTGCGGTAGCACTTGGTGTTGACCGGCACCGCGCCGCTCGGCAGCTGCACGTTGCAGTGGTAATTGGCGATCGTCACCGCCGGATTGCGCCGCTGCATCTTCGACAGGGTGT